ACCAAGTCTTCAAAATGCTGAAACATTACTCTGTTGGTCAAAGATCTAATTAATTTCTAAGATGACATCTCATAAATGCTTCAAACATGAACTTGAGAGTTACACGAAATTTCATGGTCTTAAATGCTATGATCCTAATCAGTTACAAAGATCACGGGAATTAATTTCTCTGAATTTGATGTCCATATCACCAATACATGAAGGACACGTCGACCATGATCTTGGATAACATTAGGATTTCATCCAAGTTATCAGTACCTCGTTGACAACGACGTATATGCATTGAATAGATGTCTCATGGTTCTGGTTATAAAAGGAGGATATTGGTGATGATTCAATATCAACCAAAATCTGGTAACAATGGCTCCTAGAAAGCCCATTACCAGAGATGCAACAAAAAGAATCACAGAGAGGACTCGTCTTATTCGAGAAGATCAAGGTGACCTATATCCTGGAAATAGCATGCGAGCTCCATTGGACATTTCCTCAGATTCAGACCTCGAGCACTATGATGGATTCATCACATATGAATCCGATGACGAAATCCAGAAAGATTATCCTAAAGAGGCACTTCCTCTAATTGTCAGAAAAGGAATTTTATCTAAGGAAGCATGGAATAATCCACACATGGACAAAGATCTTCACATCTTCTTCAGCACGTATGACTGCAAATCCAAACTCTGCGGATATCTGGAGGAAGACTCTCATAACGAAACAAGATCATCCGTTGGCTAATCTCGCCCTGTTCCTTCTTCATCAAAGAAGGAAACTCGAATGAATGAGGGGGAATCTAGTAAGACGCGGAAAGGAAAAGAGAAGAAGTAGTGTTTTCTATGCTTATCTTAAGATGTAACGTCTTAATGTTCTTGGACGATCTTTCTCTGTCTTAGAATAAATGCTTGGAGCCACTATGTTCTCAAAATGCGCTATCAATGGAATAAATCTTTATTTGATTTATTGTGTTTAAGAACCCATATGCCAGATGCACAGTTCCCTAAGGAATATATTCTAGGTGGCTATCATTGAAGTGTGAGTTATTAGTCAAAGCCGAAATAAATGGCACGATGAATAACATAAAGACATTGAATGTTCATTCAATGCCCACTGTATTCAATGCGAAGAATCATTCAATCGCAGCTATAAAAAGATGGGTGTTGTAAATTCAAAACTCACAAATTCACATTCTACCTCTGAAGCTCAGAATAGAAATCATGGCATCCCGAAGGCCAGCTACTCGATCGGTAACTCAAAAGCAGAAAAAAACCTCTCAAAAGATAAGAGAAGAGCAAGACGATTTGTATCCTGGAAATAACATGAACGCTCTAGTCGACCTTTCATCAGAGAGTGACCATCTTGATGATGGATCACTCATCTCTGATTCAGAGGAAACCCCCATTGCTGATTTTCATGAAGCTCCTCCACCAGTGGGAGGCGGAATAAACTTTCCCTCGGCTGAGGATTGATAAAACCCTCTCGCTGACCGAGACTATCTCATGTACCTAAGCACTCACGCTATTGACTCTGACACTAGCAGTAAAGCACAGCCAGCACCTACTCCTTCTAGGTCAAAGACAACCAAGACCGCCAAATGGTTTCGCAAGGATTTAGGCAAAATGATGTCAATGAGAAGTGTGGAGAGCAAGGACGTGAAGGGAAAAGCGAAGAAATGAATTTCTGTCGTTTGATATTTTCAATGTACTCTTATATGATGTTTCTCTCTGGTCATCATCAATAAACATCCTTTCGTTGCATTTTGCCAAAACTTTATTTGTTTCGTATTCTCTCTAACACGAAATGATGCCTAATGAAATGACAAAACGAGAGAAGTAAATCTTTATTTGATTTACTTTATCTTTTGAGCATGCTATGTCACATCTATATCATTTTGTCAGGAATTTTATTCCGAAACATTGGAAATTGATATCTTTTTGTATTTAGTCTTTCACACATGGAATATGTGTCATACCTCGATATGGACGGCCATTCTTGCCTACAAATAGACACGTCTTGTAATGGTATGACCATCCCATCTTTTGAAAATGGATAAGGGAAAGAAAAAGATATCTTCCTCTGTATCCTTGCTAAAGAAAGACCTAAAGGAAGTTCAAGAGATGTTCTAATCTCTTAGCCTGTCTACTGAGCATGGAGAAAGCTCCCATGGATCGGCTGCCAAGAAGCTTCACTCGACTATCCTGCAGAATGTTCGTCCTCCACTTGGTCCATCCACTCTTATGATGGATGCCTTCAAGAATGACCCATCTTACACTATGTGGAAGAACTTCTGTGAAGAACAGATCCAAGAAACTGAAGAAGATCAGCTCAAAAAGAAAGTGAGAAGAACTTAAGAATGACATTTCTCTGTGTAATGATGTAGGACGAGAGATGATTGTAAAATTATCTATGTTCGTCTTTGTAATAATTCATCTCTATGTTTCGTGTGTTCCCTCTCGCTACAAATGAATCTTGGTCACGAAACTTACTTACCCGAAACTTTCATCAGTTGATCACAGCACGAGAATCTTTATTTGACTCTCGTGACAAATCACACGTCTCTTAGACGATAAATGCACTGACGGTTACTTGGAAATGAGAAGTTATACCCTAACCGTTCGATGGGGTTGGTAGAAGTGATCGTGTGGCCACAAAACTCGGCCCACTACCCCATGTTCTCTTGTCAGTCGATGCGACAGGCATTTACTGCGGGTGTTTTGCACTCAAGTGTTTTTCTCTCTCATATTTAGTTGGGAATGATCAAAATTGATCAGATATTGGCCTTATCAGAACCTCTTACCATATCAGATTACCTTATTGGTAGAATGAGAAGAGTCACTCTCATTCAAATTCAAATACAAGGCCGGGTTACCCGGATAAATATCTTGGCCCATGAGAAAACCCATTGAAAAGCCTACCCTTTATAACCTACACCACCATCTCCCCCATCACTTTTCCAAAACTCCTCAAAAATTGTCTAATACCAAGTCTCAAATCCTCTCCGTGATCATCCAACCTCCTTCACAAACCTAGAAAACACATACCTCCATATCTGAAGCCATGGCAAAGAAATCCAAAGCATCAGCATCGGACGCCGAACAGGAAACGCCGACAACAATATAATGGTGATACCAAGTTTTCCAACCTTCGACATCAACTTTATAGAGTCAAGGGTCCCATTCATCATAGGCGGGTGCATGTGGGATGCTCATGGTTTTCTTGAGTATGTCCTTGACAAATCATTTGGAGAGAAGATCATTCATCTTCTAAAGGAGAGTGGGTTGTACAACTTTGTAACCCATCTATATACGTACTGGTTTCCGGTGGACGTCGCTCAGTTCTATCTGAACGCTACAGTGTCCGTCGATGGTTCAGAAATCTCATCAGAAGTAAATCGCACGGCCATAACGCTAACCGTTGAAGACGTGAGGAAAGCATTCAACTTCTCGGATCGTGATGAGACGTACCATTCGGACTTCTCTGGATATTACTATGAACAGAATGCCTTCTACGAAACAATCAAGAATAAACTGGGACCAACCGAGATCACTAGGCCCTTAAAGAAGAAATGGTTTCGACTTGACTACGAATTCACTGTTGACATATTCAACAAAATCGTAGAACACAAGACTTCAGGGATAGATGATGTAACCAAGGACAAGTTGAAGATGCAACACGCCTTTCTTGGCGAATACAAAGTGGACTGGTCGAAATTTGTCTTTAATAAACTTCGACACATCATCACCTATAGACGATCTTCACCAGGAGACATTGCAAAGAAAATTGGTTTTGGCTTCCTCGTAAACCATCTTCTCGCCACAAAGAAAGTTCCACTACATCCAGGAGTTTCCCCTGGCCCGAAAGTGTGTCACATGAAATCCAAACCCTCTGGATATGACAAGCGGAAAGCAATGGAGTTAGGCCTACCATTGGACTCGGTGAAGAAGGAACGGAAGTCAAAAAGGGGCAAAGAGACTGATGATGATCAGCCCAAGTCCAAGAGACGAAAGAAGGACAAAATCTCCCCCACATCAGCAACGAAAGTTCCATCTGACGCTCAGCCCGTTCCCAAGACCACAGAACCAGAACCCCTAGCTGATACCAAGAAAGATGACCTTCAGAAGACACCCCAAATTTCGACAACAGAACCTGCTATCATTGATGATTCCTCTGAAGGAGAAGATGTCACTCTATCCAACCTTGTACAAGCGCCAAAAGGTCATTTTCGACCTACTATTGCTAAAGCCAATGAAATCATGGCGAGGTTAGCTCTTCCTCTTCCATCTAGCTTGAGAGCAAAGCTGACAAAGAAGGGTGCATCTTCTCAGGGGGAAGAAAGTTCAAAGAGATGAGATCCATCTCGAAAAGCCTCGAAGAAGCGAAGGACGCGATCTGAAAGTGCAGAAAGCTTGAGGCAAATTTCTTTACCACAAGAACCCATCTTGGCAGAGCAACTCAACACGAGTTTGACACAAAAACCTGCTGAGGTGGAAAAGGATACCCGCGATCCTCCAGCTCCCACTGACCACTTAAGTCTCCCACAAGAACCTGGCTTGCCAGAAGAGACGAGAGAAGTGGTCAATGATCAAATTTTTCTCTCACCACCTGTTGCCGAAACAACCCTCCCATAATAACCTACCTGTGCAGAGCAGATAGTTCCTACTCTAACATAAGAACCTGCTATGGTAGACGAGGACGAAAGTGTGTCACAACCTTCGAATCACTTAAGTCTCCCACAAGAACCTGGTCAGCCAGCCGAGACGAGAGAAGTGATTCCACAGCTTGAAACCAATCTGAAAGAAGGAATACACGGATCCGAAGTTATTCAAGAACCTGCCTTACCAGTAGAAACGAGAGCAGTTGTACCTATACCAGAAGTTGTTCAAAACCCTTCTCCATCAAGAGACCAACTGCTTCGACTCTAAATTGAAACTGACTTCAAGAGAATCATGCAATGGCAAAAATGGCGAACTTCACCTCTGCAAACATTCCTTGAAACTTTTGACGAAATGAAGGACGAAGAAGACTTTGCTCTTGAGTGGCTTGACAAACGAGACGTTTACAGTGTAACCCGTCTCGAAACCATAAACCGAGTGTATTCTTACAAAGTGACCAACCGCACTCTTGGAAAAGACAAAACTCCCATCTGCATTGAACTGAGCAAGCCGCCTTTGGATCCAATTTTTGAAGAAGAAATGAAAGAGTTCAGATATGCTCTCCTCTTATCCAAAGTCAAAATGGAATTAGAGAGAACTCATCAGAATGGTCCGGCTTGCAATGTTAGCGAATCCAAGGATGACGAAGGGAAGGAAATTGCAGATGTCGCTGAAGACGAAAGAACAAATGCAGAAAACGAAAGCAGTGAGGCTAACTCTGAAGCAAATTAGTCTCCAAATGACGAAAACAATGATGATGAAGAAGATAGCGGAGACGACAAAAATGATGAGAATGATGAAGAAGTTGACGCTGATGAAGAAAATGATGAGAAGAAAGACGATGATGATGAAAATGATGATGATGATTCGGGTGATGATGATGACGATGATGACAATTTGGGCTACGATAGCGAATCTCCCATCATAGGCAACACCGAATACATACCTGATAGATCCCCCGCACCTCGCTCATCTCCACCCAAGGACAATTCTCCTCGTGATTCGTCTCACTCTATGCCTCCACCAAGATATAGTGAAGCGATTGCAAATCAAGTTCGTGATGACAAAATGGAAGCATCACCTCGTGATGGCAAACTGGAAGCATCACCTCGAGAACTGCCGTTCGTCTTTGAACACAGAAGTTCTCTTCGCAAACCCATGCTCATTTATCCCAAAAGAGGCCCTACTCTCGAGCAGCTTGATCCCGAGAACATTATGCATCAGATACTGAACACAGTCCGTCAGGCCGAGCTCATATATCAACAATACTTAATTCATCGAGAGCACGACAGCCTGACCCTAGCAAACTTATGTGACAAGGTGGACCAATTGATGAAAACCAGATCTCAACAGCAACCGAGCTCGTCCACTGTCGATCTTCAAGAAAAGATAACACATGAACTCCGTCGTCAGAGTGATCTCTTCGAGAAAATTACAAAAGAATAGAATTCTCTCAAATTCTCTCAATTCGGCCTTAAAGAAAGAGTTGACCATGCTTTCACGAAGATTGACTTGGGGCATGACAACATGTTCTGGATGGGTGAATATCAGCTCACAATTCTTGAATATGTCAAAGATGTACTTAATGCTGTTAACCGGTTTTCCAAATTCTCTGCCGCCCCATGTGCTGATGCCAAAAAGGGGGAAAAGAAAAGAAATGATGACGATGAAGACGAGAATAGAAATTGATCACCATCTCGTCCAGATGAATCTAGGAGAAACGAAGGAAGAACCACAAGACACGAAGTAGGAAGAAGCTCACCAAGAAACACGAGATCATCTTCCCCAGCTTCTAGATCTCGACAACAACACTCTTCTAGATCCAAACAGCACTCCATCAGACCTTGTCAATCCTTCGGATCCACCTCAGAGTTTTCATTTCGTGGAAAGACGAACAGAGAAAAGAAAAACTTCCATCAAAAGCTGATGCGAAAAGAGAATGTAACCATGGACGCTACAAGAAATTTCCACACTTATCAACCGTATGAAGAAGGAAGTGGAAAACGCTTCGAAGGTTACAATATACCTGTTTGGATGAAAAGGAAAGCAACTACTCTAGGCAAGTCTATCAAATCCAAAGGAATGATGAAATCAAGAAAGCAAACCTAGAGCTATGGAATAAACAAGAAGAGGCGAGACTTGTTAGAGAGAAAGAGCTGATTGAGCGAGAAAGGATAAAAGGAGAAAATAAATGATGTGACGAAAGTGAAGAAAGATGCTGAACCAGGAGTCAAATATAATGCTGCATTCAAAATCCACACTGAATCAGGGAAGATCTACACCGAAGGGATGCACTCGTTTGAGCCCATTGCCTGGTGGAATCTCGGCATCATTGAAGGAGAAAACATCCTCGAAGCATACAATAAATATGTGAGCTGCAACATCAAAGGAAAGTATGAAGATCATGTCAAAGAGAATCCGATCCGAAAATTCAGAGAGCATATCAACCGAGACATCGACATTAATATGATGCTCAAGCAACAGAAGGAAAGAGATGAAAAAGAACGAGAGGAAGCTCAGCAACAAAAGGCGAAACTTTTAGACATGTAAAAGTTTTACAACCGTGCCTTTGACAATATTTTGTAAGTGTCTTTGATCTTTATAAAAGTCATCTTTTGCTCAAACTATCGTGTTTCTATCTCTGTTACCTGTTTTAATTACTTGTATCTTTCATAATTCTTAGAAACTGAGTGTAAACTCTTCTATATAGCTGTTTTGAAATGAAAAATCTTTTATGGGACAATTATCAGCCTTATAAGCAGAGTATAGGTTTTGGCATCATCAAAAAGGGGGAAATGGTTAGGAACGCATGTATTAAGATTTTGATGATACCAATGTAACTTAGATAGTAGACCCCTAACTTTTTGTCATTTATTTTGCTACCTTCGTCTTAGACATAAGGTACCATAACTCACTGTGTAATTCATGTTAAGTTAGTCAAACACACGAATGATCTTTTAGTTAGGTTTCTTTGAACGAAAGAAGAGCTGATTAATGAAACAGAACTACATCTCGGATGGACTACGAATGGATAGATGATCCCTTACAGTCAAAAACAGAAACTGAAAGTAATCTTTTGACCAGAGACATTATTTCTAATGTTCAGACTACCAAGACAATCCATCTTCTCTCAACTCAAGAAGAATGTTGTCAAATGTCTCAGTTGATGGATCATCCTAGGAATAAGAAATCCTAAGAATAAGAGCACGCTTATCAAGGTGCATTAAATGTCATAGTACCTCTTTTTAGAGCTAGAAGACAAAACTTGTAGAAGTTCTTGCCTCCAACGACTATATGGTACAGCTGCATTTAATGAAGCAATAAATGCACCAGGCTCTCCGGTTATTAACCACTGGATCATAGGTTTGAAATACAATCTCCCTCCAACGGATGGATATTTTCTCTCCTATAAATACCCATCTTCTCCATGATAGAAGGTGCTGGTTTTTAGAAAAATTGATCATACATATTCAAAAGCTCCTTATACAAGATCACTCTGTTAAGCTTTTGAAACCAGTGTTCCAAGGTGTGAAGTTTACAAGAAGATTTATCAGATCTCATCCTCACAACCTTGAAGAAGTCTTGCATCTTAGATACGTTGATCATCCATCATCCAACCAGCCAGCCAAGACTTCAACCAGTTGGAGAACCACACAGATTATTTTCTTCCAACCCTCAACTCTGAAGAAGACGTTGATAGAGGCGGAGTAAACTCTAGGAGTTGAAAAACCTACAAGTAGCTGTCCAGCTTAGTGATCAAGGAAGCTAGCTTGGTGTAATTTGTACTAGGAGTGATAGTGCAAACCTTTCACGAGTTGTGAAAGAAGAGTGGAGTAGGCACAGTTGGCCGAACCACTATAAAAATCTCTTGTCTCTCTCTCTTTATTTTTCCTTGCTTTATTTTCGTGCATTGCATATCACTCAATCCTAACCGAACGTTTCGTTAAAGCAACAAACAGTGCAAAGTAACCTAAAACTCGTATAACATATCCGCTGTGTTATAACCCCGAAAGGAGTTATTTCTGAAAAAACGAGTTGTCTATTCACCCCCCCCCCCCCCCCCTCTAGACTCTTCTTTTGACCCTACCGGGACCAACACATTATTACGAATTTATGATCTGGCATATCAAGTTCTCAAAGTCAGCCATTTTTTTTGTGTGTGGTGTATGAAATTAGTAGAAAATTTTTAATAGTGGGGTCCAAGCCTACACCGATTGAGAAGCAACATAATATACAACTGTGAATAATTAATAAATATATTTTTATATTAATTACATATTTTATACAACAGGTAAAATTTCCATTATAATAAAAATTCAACATCTTTTGCATACCTCTACCCACCCTTCGATTGGCATTATTGCTAGACATTTTCAAGAGAAAATATAATTCACTAAAAAGCTTTGTGAATGAATTATATTTTTTCTTGAAAATGTCTAGCAATAATGCCAATCGAAGGGTGTGTAGAGGTACGCAAAGGATTCCCCTATCTAGAATTGAAAGTGACACTAATCGTAGTTTCGCCTTCTCGAAACGCCGCAATGGCCTTATCAAGAAGGCCAATGAGATATCCACACTATGTGGCGTGGAGATTTTGTTGGTGATTATTTCGCCTTCTAGCTACGCTTATACATTCATCAATCCTAGTATGGATGCGATCCTAACCAAATATTTTGGTGCTAATCCTACAACACAACCCAACTTGGCTGAACAAAAGTTGCGCGCTGACCGTGAAACCATGATGCAAATCCTATCTAACCAAATTAGTTACCTTGAAATGCAAATTGAAGAAGAAATGAAAGTAAATCAAGCTTTGCGTGACACCGAAAAGATTAGGCATCCTATTTCTGAACTTTTATTATCAGAGCTACCATCCATGGAACACAACATGGAAATGCTTCGATCTCATGTTTTGCAAAAACTAATACAAGTTCATACGCAAGCTAGGATTTCTCATTATGATAGAGGCAACTTCTTTGGCTATTCACATTTTGGAGCGAATGACGATGTTGGCCTAAGTGGTGGTGCTAGTGCCATATAAAGAGCTAGTACGAACCAAATGATGATGGTTCTCATTGAGGGACCTAATTAGAAGCAATAAGATATTTATGAATTTTATTTCAGTATATCTATATATTTTCTCCACGTTTTATTATTTTATTTATAAAAGTTATTACAAATGATCGATTACGGGCTAATATGAATGCAAATGTGTGTTCTTGATATATTTTAATATTATTTTTCATGTTAGAGTTTTGATATTTTAATAAATTATTTACGAAAAAATATCTTGAATTACAATGTTATGAAAATTAAGGACAAAATTATTTGACCAATTACCTTAGCTTTTTTATTTTTAACATACAATGGAAATAAAAGGCCAAAATGCCTGTGCAACTATAGAAGTGTTATTAACACGCATTATATAGTAAATGAACGACAAAAACAGTGTCATGCCATCAACAAAGGCATTTTCTTTTGGGTAGTACTTAAATGGTACGGAGTATTATATTATATTACAATACCCTTTTTAGATATAATTAATAAATTATGGTAGTATCTCATGCAGACTTATCAATCGCCAATATGTGGATAGAGTAAGTTTTGTTTACCTATTAGGAAAAAAAAAAAAAAAAAAAGAGAGAGAATACAAACTTCTGTAGCAGAAAGCAACAAGCAATTATTGATTAAACGTACAATAAGTATTTTTGTTTTCACATGAAAGTATTTTACTTCTCATGAAAACTCGTTGCTTGATATGCTGCAATAAGTTGTACAACAACATTAAGAGACAAGTAAGAACTGTAAAAATAAAACGGTAGAACAATATTTTAATTTATACGCACATGTTCATATTGGGTTGGTTAATTGTGTATGCCACTTCCAGGATTTGTTTTAATTGTTCATTATTCCATTGGAAAGAATAGAATTTTACTTCTCTCTTTTAACAGAAGGAACAAAGTTAAGAGCTGCTAATCCTCTTCATTCTAGAACCAAACCTAAAGAGACTTTACTGCTTAGTTGACTTCCAATTGCCATCATAGTTGTCTTGGAGTTTTGGTTCTCTGATGACTTAAACCATTTCTGATGCAGCATGTATGCTTGCCTTGGGTTCTCCAATTCTAGATTTTTTGCTAAGCCTCTAGCCTTTTTGTGATAGGTGTGAATCACATTTCTTTTGTAGGTTAACAAGAAATATAAATGTTTGGAAATTGATCTTGATGGCTGGTACAAAAGAATGCTACAACTCAAAGAAAAAGAAATATGCTGTTGTAAAAGTACAATTTAAGGATGGAACACCTTATGAGGTAGCAATTATATATACTTAATACAATTTTATCGAGTTAACACTATGCTTTTTGGAATTAGTTATAACTATCAGCTTGTCACTATAATGCTATGCCATCCACGTAATTGAAAAGACAGGTCTTAATATGGTTCGTCGT